AGCGCTGGAAAATGGGAAGCAGAACGGGATGTGCAGTTCTCACCCAAGATCAGAATTTGCAGGATGGTGGTTATATAAAGTTGTGAATCTCCTTTGATTTTTATTTCAGCTTGCAAGATGCTAGTCTGTGGTTCATTTAAGCAAGAGTTTTTGGGCAGTCATTTTCACAGTTGGTTAAAGGGCCAAGGTTGTTTTTCCCCAGTGAAAGAGATTAGTCTTTGTGCAAGTGGTTACAAGGTTACTTACTCATGCAAATAGACAATGAGCTCAGTAATTGTCCCCTGTCCCCTCTCCATGCTAGCACGGATCACCACCAGTATGGAAACAGTCATGTCACTGGCTAGGCCTTTCATTTCAGAGGTGAAAGGGAGGAGCGATAAAGGTCAAACATGGTACTGCAGGTTTTCTTGCAAGATGATATTTACAGATGCGCATAAATATAGAACTATGCATCCCTGTGGAATTGCCATGTGAAGAATTCTGATTAAAGTTACATTCCTTTCCTCCAAAATCACATATGTGTAACATGTAGGACACGATATCAGTGAGTTAGTGGGGTTCTTAACTTCTCCATCGGCCCTTCAGGACTCTGCAGACCCTATGGTGAAAGTCCTTCTTTAAGAAGACATGCTACACAGATAAGGTTATGTATTAGGTCAACAAATGGGTCAGTCTCTGAGCTTTGTTTGTACAAAGAACCAAAATAAAATGAGATCTGGCTTTTCACAAAGCTTTTAACCCAACGGTTGATCAACATTTTCTAACTACATATATTATGTACATATACACAAATGTACCTGTTTTAGGTGAATCAATAGGATAAAGGTTTCCTTTTTACAGTTTTAATGCAATGGGTAGCAGTTTTAATGTACTAGGTACAGATGATGCCCGAGTGCATGCACATTCATAAACACACACACCCCCCCCCACATACTATCTAAACAATAAAATCTTTGTCTTCAGGATGAGGACCTGTCAATTTGTCCTCAGTTAAAAGCAGGGGCCAATAACAAATGCCACACCCAATAAACATGTTCGGAATTTTCCAATAATAATTCATGTGATTGACTGCAATTGAGGTTGCTCTCCCCAGCCCACCTCCCAAGGCAGAGAAGTAATGCAAGGAAGAGTAACATCCTTGGCACACTGTAAACTACTAGACAGATCCCAGAGCACAGGGGTAGAAATGTCTGTGGCAGTCATAGACTGTCACAGAGCAGGACAAAAGCTCTTTCCAGAGCTTACCTGCCCTCTGCTATGGAGACTTCAGTGGAAACAGAAATCAATTATAAAGTGTAATCTAGGGAAATCTGAAATGAGACTAAAACTGAACTTTGAATAACAAGCCCAGATATTTGTAAGCCACCCTATGAGGATGAGCCAAATAAGAGAGAGAGGGATTTTTCCTGTGTCAAAATAACAGAATTCCGGAATCCATTAAAATCAGAAAGAAATTACTTATTCAATGTCAGAAATATTGTATTTTGACATATACCCTATAAGATGTATGACCTGGAATATAAACAATGGGCTGCACAGACTTAAATTTTGTCCTAAATAATACTGCAAGGATAGAAATACAAGAAGGACCTCAATCAGAAAATAGAGAAAGAAGTAACACACAGACATTGGAATTTCCTGCAGCATCTGACCAGCCTGGAACCTGAATTTAATAAATACGGTCTCCTCTACATACACTAATACCTTACTACTCCGATCAATCTGCTCTTTCCTTCTTTCCTCTTCCTCTCTGTTTCTTTGACTGGTGTCCTGGTTATCAAGTACCTTGAGGCAGAGGAAGAGGAAGGAAGAGAGAGAGGGAGGGGGAGAAAGACAAAGAGAGGGACTGGATATGATACTGAAAAAAAATATATCTTTTTTTTTTTTTTTATAACCCAGTCAGGTCAGGCATTATGCCTAGATCCTTCATTTCAATTGGTAGGTAATTTTTTTTTTTCTGTTTTGTTTTGACAGGGATAACTTTTCAAATTAAATCCCTTTATTGAATTTTCACTCTTGGGTAGTTTCTGAAGATGCTGCCTTTGCAAAAAAGTAAAATAAAATAAATAAAATTAGAACTGATCTATTTCATGCCATGTGAAAGCTGAGCCCAAGATGACAGTTTGGCATTATCAACCTTCATGGCTTCAGGGAGCATAGGAATAATGTCGGGTGAAAGAAAACGTGCACATCAGAGTAAGTGAGGGACTTACTGTTTTCAGGATGTGGGGTTATGTGATTAGATGCCACAAGCCAGAGCAGTATTATCCCCAAAAGTTTAAAAATGAAAGCAATCTGGGATGTTACCAATTCCATCTGGAGCTTCCTAAACAAGAGGTGCAGTCATGGGAGACAGACCCTAAAGCTCTTTCATTAGTTTTTTTTTTTATGGGACTTGGTTACTCTTAAACATTTTCTGCTGACCAGCAGCATGGGCTTCGCTTGGGGACTTATTAGGAATGCAGACTCTTGGGCCTCTATTGAACCAGAATCCACATTTTAACACGATCCCTTGTTGAGCCATATTATGTTCAGATGTGAGGCACAATGCCCTAAAAATTTCCGACAACTCAATAAGTGACTTGTTCAATTGGCCAACTATGTATTCACTCACTCAACAAATATTTATTAAGCTCCATCTACACGACCCTGTGGCACATGCTGGAGACATGATTATGAACAAAGATACACACGGTCCCTTCTCTCCTAGAACCTGGAGGCCAAGTCATTGTAATTAATCACTACAGATGGTCCAGAAATAAACACCCATTTCTTTTTTTTTTTTTTTGGTTTTACTGGTTATGTGAAATAATTTTAGTCTCACATAAAGGCTGCAAAAACTAGTATAGACAGTTCCCCTATACCGTTCTCCTGGCTACCCCCAAAGGTAGCATCCCATATAACCATAGAATGAAAGCAAGTAAAATATGAATTGTTTTAGACTGAGAGTTCAATAAATGGATTGTCCTGAGAAATGGATGCCTTTTCTGTTTTTGATATTATTCTAGTTTTTTGCAACTTTCCTGTGAGCTGAAAATTATTTCAAAATAATAAGTTAAAAAAATAGAAATGGATGTTTACACCTGAACCACCCATAGTGATTAATTACAATGAACTGGTCTGGGAAGGGAGAATAGAAGAGGGACAGTCCATGTGGAAGAACCAGCAGATATCAGAATCTTGTGGTGAGACGGCCCTGCATGTTCCAATGAGAACAAGCCTACAGGCCTGTAGACAAGGAGTGAGGAGAAGACAGAATGAGATGAGCCAGGAAACAGGCAGGTACGGATTATGCCGGAGCTACAGGTCAAGGTGAGAATTTTGACCAAATGTCATGAATCGTTCTGCCTAAGGAAAATATTGCTCTGGCTCTTGTGTAGTAAAAACTGAATTTTGGAATCCAAGATAGCATCGTCAGTTCTAGAGCTGAAAGGGTTGCCACCAGAAAGAACCCACTGAAGGGATGGCTCTAAACTTTCAGCACATTCTGTGTCAGGCACAGTGCTGTGCATAGTACATACGGCAGTCCCACCAGAGTTTATTTTTATTTTTTTTCCCACCTGAGTTTAAAATGGAAAAGGTGAGGTCAGCTTGGACCCTGATCTGTCCCCTCACTGATTCTGCCAAAGAATATATTCATTCCCCAAAGGGGGAGCAAAACCTCTGGAGATGAAAATTTTCATGCCCTGTGCATAGTAATGAAGTAGATGTGGTTTCTAGAGAGTTTGGAGCACAGAGGTGACCTGCTTCTTCATGCAGGAAGTTGGTAAAGGATAGGTATCTTCCGCTTTTCATTCAGATGAGCTGAGGGCAAGTGGACAGGAACAAGAGACAGTGACGATGAAGTTATTGGACTGTGAGGGATATTTGTGAAACATAATGTCTCAAAATTAGATTATCACCTTCTGGCTCGGTGCTGGACCCCCTCATTGGTCTGGGCTACCTGCAGATTGTCAATTCTCCTTCTTTCCTCTACACTTGAGACAACTTCCTCCTCCCAAATGCCATCCCTCCAGCCTTTCCTCATCTCACCTCTTTTTCTTCTTTATGGTTCCCCTTTTCTCTTTCTTTGAACCCTTTCACCTGTGGTGCCTTATCTTAGGTCTGGCGGATTCCTCCCCTCCTTGGCCCTTCTAGAGATCCTCTGGATCAAAGAAGGAGAAGGAAACATATGAAGTTGCTGCTGTTGTTTAAATATATTAAACTTTCTATGCTTTGGTTTCCTCTTCTGTAAAATCAGAAAAATAACCTACAAGTTGTTGTGGGGATTAATTGTGATAAAATATATAAAGTGATTAGCATAATTCTGCATATAGGTAAGTGCTCAGCCAATTTTTAGCTAGGACAGGAATCACTCTGATTAACTTATTTCATTTACAGATGGAGAAGCAGAGGCATAAAGAGTTTAAGTAGCCTTTTTAAGTGACTAATTTTTCACAATTAGTTAAGTGAACTTTTGAGTCCACTGGACATGGGTTTGGATCCGGGACCACATTTTTCTGTATCATGTCACCAAAAGCTGCAATCTCCATACAAAGTGCAGGCCCTACAGCAGCTCTGGCTAAGAACTACTGAGATGCCACTAAACCTACTCAACGGATACTTCCCTCTACCTGTTAATGATGAGGGATGGTTCTCTTGTCCCTGTCCTTTCCAAGTGCTTTGTGACTTTCCAGACAAAACATGGAGACACTGCCTAGACCGTATCTGATAAAATAAGGAAACTAGAAAAACAAATCCAAACAAAACGGCAACAATAACATAATAATAACAATAGCTACAAAAACACTTCAGTAGTAAGAAATTGGGGTGTTTCCCCCTTACCTGGAAAAGAAAAACACCTTGATTGGATAAGTAATGTTAGAAATCATTAAGACAATTCTGGATGACTAAGGACTTGGATTATTACTGCTGTGATTTTCCTAGACACAGACACAGCTCATGGCAAATTGGTAAAACTAGCATCACTATGAAAATCATGGGGAAGTTGAATTACTTACGACCATCTACAGTTCTGGCCTCGAGATGCACAAGGTCTGGTTCCTTATTTGACCCCATTACGGACCTAAAAAATGGAGAAACAGGAAAACAAATACCAACATTAATGACTTCACCATGTGCCTCAGAGAAACTCAGCTGAGCCCCTGGCCTACTAACATTCACAGAATTCAAATACCACAATCCTTGGAATACATCTACTGTATTTATTCATATGGTCTGACAGTAAAATTTCCACTTCAAATAAAAACTATAATGGAACCTTTATTTGATGAAGGCCAGCCTTAACTCTGACAAGGATGTTGTGTTATTAGCTCAGACTTGCAAATAAGTCCGGCACATGGCATGTGTGTCCTCTTGTGACAATCTCACTGACAATATATTAAACTTTCAAGACTTATCAGGCAAATGCCAGGCAGGCTGCTTTAGCTGGGTGACTTGAATAGTGATTTACATAGCAAGCTAATCTAATTAATTTTTCCATTTGAAATGAGGGCAGCCCCTCTGGCCCAGTGGTTTAGCACCGCCGTCAGCCCAGGGTGTGATCCTGGAGGTCCGGGATCGAGTCTCACATCGGGCTCCCGGCATAGAGCCTGCTTCTCCCTCTGCCTGTGTCTCTGCCTCTCTCTCTCTCTCCCTGTGTGTCTGTCATGAATATATAAATAAAATCTTTAAGAAAAAAAAAAGAAATGAGCAGTACTATGTCCCTCTATCCTACAAACTAAACAATCCATGTGACCCCACCAATGCAGTGGGCAGTATGGCACAGGGTGATCATTCTCTGTATTGTTGAACCAGTGTGAGGAAATGCAGATGCACCTCACTTAATGATACATGCCTGAAACTATATGTGTAAGTAAAATAAAATAAAAAGCAAAATAAAAGTCTATTTTGAATGCCTTGGAGGCACTTATTATTTAGTGTAATCTTGCAGTGAGCCATATTAAGTAGAAAATAATTATTCTGTTACCTGAGCTATAATAGATAGTCAAATGTTGAATGAAAGAAGGAAGGAAATGAACAGAAGGAGGGGGTATATAATGGTCTGTGAGCTCTTTGAAATAAGTAAATTAATCATTGTCCTAAGGGCATTCCTAGCACTCTTCTTATTTGAACTCATTTTCTCAGCTCAAAGAGTCTGAAGCATAGCTAGGTTAGTCTACCCTCATCTTAAGAAAGAAGACTCCTAAAGGCCCTATTATCACTGTCAGTAACTTTTCTCTGATTGATGCATGGCCTGAATTTCAGAGTCTGTGCTTGAAACATTACACCCTGCTTTCTTTTTCCAGGCAGCAGAAATGGCCTAATAAGGATTTAATAATAAACCTAATGGGTTTAATAATTTTCCTCAAGGAGACAGGGGCCCAGCCCTTGGCCACTTCACATCATTGGAATCTGAATGTAGGCAGTTGGTGACATTTTGACCATCACTTCAGTCAAGTACTAGAGCACCTGTTGGTCTAGGGATGGTGGTTCTCCATTTCCCACACGGAAGCACTGACTGGATCCATAGGCGACCTCTTCTGACAAAGCCACATTCGTGATATTAAAGAAAACAAGCTCCCTAAAAACCTTCAAACTAGAAATTGTAGCACCTGTTTTTTGTAAATTATTCATGGATAGTTACAAACTGCTCATCTCTCACCATGCCTGTTGCCCTGAGTTTCTTCCTTAAAATGACTAGCACCTATGATGCCCAGGAGAAGGCTAGCATCCCAGAGGCACATGTTAAAAACTTGCATGCAGACCTATCTGCTTGGCTAATGGTGAGTGTCAATGGGAGACAAAATAATTACTCTGCATTAGGTTGCATCTTTCCATGTGCTCATGGCTCTGAATCAATAATAGCAGTTGGCTCTTAAGATCTTTTGTTATTTCTAAAGACAGGATCTGTTGTTTCATGTGATGTTTCTGCTCTTATCAATTCACAAAAAGAGACAGGAACAAAACCGAGTCCCTTGTTTCTCTGGAGTCTACTATGGCTAACCAAATCCCCTTACCCTGGCCATTTTTTTCCCCCATCTGGAGTAAAACAACTACAACAAAATAAAATTTTAAAGTCAAACTACAATGTTTCCAACAACTTTTATTTGTTACTAGGCTCATCCCTTTTCCTAGTAGTCTGGGAGGACCTCTAGATCTGCAGTCACAGATCATAAAGAATTATTACTGCTTTTACTTCATGGCCCTGGTAAATTCTCAAAAGCTGAAGCCAAACAATGCTAAATGTCCGCAGAGGTGCTGGTTTTAATGGTCCTGTCATTGACCAGACACCTTGCAGAAGCACATCACCGCAGCTGACCACAAAGTATCATTCTCTAGCCTATTTATACATTCTACTTGTGGCCCTGGTGTTCAGCAGTTATCTGTTTATTTTATGACCAATTATTGTGCTTTGCTTACTAATGGTGACAATAATGATAACAGGTGGTTTTTCACGGGTTGGCAGGAGGAGAAAATGGGGCAGGATTGTTAAAGGATACAAACTTTCAGTTATAAGATGAATAGGACCTGAGGATATAATGTACAGCTAGGTAAGTATAATTGATAATACTGTATTTATTGTATAACTGAAATTAGTTAGGAGAGTATAACTTTAGCTAAGAAAGAAAGAAAGAAAGAAAGAAAGAAAGAAAGAAGAAAGAAAGAAAAGAAAAGAAAGAAAAGAAAAGAAAAGAAAAGAAAAGAAAAGAAAAGAAAAGAAAAGAAAAAGAAAAAGAAAAAGAAAAAGAAAAGAGAAAAAAAAGGTAAATATGTGAGATGATGGATCTGTTAACTCAGTTGTGGAAATCCATTCACACTGGATATGTTTCTGAAATCATCACATGGTATACTTTAAATATAATTTTATTTGTCAATTACACCTCAATAAGGCTCAAAAATAACAGCAAATTAAAAGTGCATAAACATAAAATTTAATCCAAAATGTTCCCTTGATATCTTCTTTTTGCAGTGAGAGCTTAAGAATGTCTTCAAGTATGTGTATCCATCATGACAGTAAGTCTGACTTTTGGTATTAAGCACAAAGGGTTGGACACCCTTGCTTTATGCTTTTAGATTGCCCTGTATATATGTATTCCTGTCGTGGTTCATAATGGTTTGCTCGATCTCTTTGCATAAATGCCCCTTTTACTTTATTGAGCTCCCACAATGCAGGCGCTCTGTTTTATTATCACCAAATTCTCTGTGCTTACTAGAGCATAGAGATGAATGTTTCCTCAGTAAACACATAGACAACATTTTTACACTGGTTAGTATCTACTGTAATATCTGATATATTGGGTTATTCAATTCTGGGACTCAAAAAGAACCTCTCTGCAGTATGAGATGAAAAATTTTGATTCAGGGTCCTTTAATTATATAAGAAGGCAATAGGTGGCTGTATCTAATATATCTTTATATTGCCTGTGTGTCTATTTGAGAAAATGAATTCCCTTTTTGAACTAAATTTCACAGAAGGGCAGGGAAGTCTTCATGTCTTAGCAAGTGTGTGTGTGTATTTGGGGTCTCTGGAATTCCCTTCTACCCTTATTCTACATTCTTAACCCTTTTTATTTTTTTATTTTTTTTATTTATGATAGTCATACAGAGAGAGAGAGAGAGAGAGAGAGAGGCAGAGACACAGGCAGAGGGAGAAGCAGGCTCCATGCACCGGGAGCCTGACGTGGGATTCGATCCCGGGTCTCCAGGATCGTGCCCTGGGCCAAAGGCAGGCACCCAACCGCTGCACCACCCAGGGATCCTTCTTAACCCTTTTTATTTTTTTTTTTTTTGACTTTCTGATTATTTTTTTTTTTATAAATTAATTTTTATTGGTGTTCAATTTACCAACATACAGAATAACACCCAGTGCTCATCCCGTCAAGTGTCCCCCTCCGTGCCCGTCACCCATTCACCCCCACCCCCCGCCCTCCTCCCCTTCCACCACCCCTAGTTCATTTCCCAGAGTTAGAAGTCTTTATGTTCTGTGTCCCTTTCTGATATCTCCCACACATTTCTTCTCCCTTCCCTTATATTCCCCTTCACTATTATTCATATTCCCCAAATAAGTGAGAACATACACTGTTTGTCCTTCTCCGATTGACTTACTTCACTCAGCATAATACCCTCCAGTTCCATCCACGTTGAAGCAAATGGTGGGTATTTGTTGTTTCTAATGGCTGAGTAACATTCCATTGTATACATAAACCACATCTTCTTTATCCATTCATCTTTCGATGGACACCGAGGCTCCTTCCACAGTTTGGCTATTGTGGACATGGCTGCTAGAAACATCAGGGTGCAGGTGCCCCGGCGTTTCATTGCATCTGAATCTTCGGGGTAAATCCCTAACAGTGCAATTGCTGGGTCGTAGGGCAGGTCTATTTTTAATTCTTTGAGGAACCTCCACACAGTTTTCCAGAGTGGCTGCACCAGTTCACATTCCCACCAACAGTGTAAGAGGGTTCCCTTTTCTCCGCATCCTCTCCAACATTTGTTGTTTCCTGCCTTGTTAATTTTCCCCATTCTCACTGGTGTGAGGTGGTATCTCATTGTGGTTTTGATTTGTATTTCCCTGATGGCAAGTGATGCAGAGCATTTTCTCATGTGCATGTTGGCCATGTCTATGTCTTCCTCTGTGAGATTTCTCTTCATGTCTTTTGCCCATTTCATGATTGGATTGTTTGTTTCTTTGGTGTTGAGTTTAATAAGTTCTTTATAGATTTTGGAAACTAGCCCTTTATCTGATATGTTATTTGCAAATATCTTCTCCCATTCTGTAGGCCTTCTTAACCCTTTTTAAAAAATGTTTTTGTTATTCTGTTTTTTTAATTTTCATGTATACAATAAAATAATTTAATAATCCTATACATCTCTCAGTGCTCATCAAGATAAGTATATTCTTACATCACTTTATTTCACCTATCCTACAGCCCACCGTCCCTCTGGCAAACACCAGTTTCTTCTCTGTATGTAATGGTGTTACTTTTGGGGGCACCTAGGTGGTTCAGTTGGTTAGGCAGCTGCTTTCAGCTCAGTTATGACCTCAGAGTCCTAGGACTGATCCCAGGGTCCTGGGATTGAGCC